TGATCATGTGATAACTGACGGAGTTTCCCACCTATACTATAGAAGATCCGTTTTGGTCTGCCCACCTATACTATAGATTAGCCTACTCTTTATTAAGTTACAATTTCTAAAATTTAATATTTTAATTGTTCGTAAAATTTTATTTATCCTTATAATCGCTTATGCTAGGAGGAACCACCCTATCTTCTATCTCTTTATTATCTTCATCCTCACTGATAACACCCCAAATTTTACTTGGTTCAGATCCCATTTGCATTTCCATTATTGCGCCTCCAGAAATATCTTTATGCCTAAACCAGGTTTTTTTCCATTCTTTATTATTGATTTTAACATTTTGAATATATATATTGTTGTCCGTCAGATTCTGAGCTATAATTGTGAATGTTTTTAATGGTGATATTGAAAGGTATATGGTAACTTTATCAAAACATGGTGAGTTTATTAGGTAGATATCGGTTCCGCCTCTATAATTATAAAATCCAAATGATTAGTATTAAATATCCAACATTCCAATCTACATTCCAATTTATGTTGATAAATGAAACCACCTACAATGGAAATATTCCAATAGCGTTAAAAGCATACCAACTTCCCATCGCACCAGAATCATCATTTCCTATCGAAAAAAAAATTCGTATTTATAAATATATTTACTTGATAAATTTATATAAAACAAGAGTAATAAAATTTATACAAAGGGTGATGACATTTAATGTAAATTTGGTAATGTCATTCGTTTCATTTTTTCAATTTTAATTTTACAAACCTGGAATTCCATCCTGCTCAACTCCAAATTTAGTTTTCATAATAGTTCTAATCACGTCCACACTTTTATATTGTTTTCCAATAAAATGATATAAACACGTATGAAAAAAACTAGGTTCATTTCCTATATTATAATAACCTCCTAAAAATGATTTATCTGCAAATGTTTTATCAAGTCGATCTTCAAACCGTTCTGGACCTCCTGACAATTGTATTAGCCTTTTCACATCTTATTTATTAATGAATGATAAAAAATAATCAAAAAGAAGTTATATTTCAAAATTTTACTTGATTCTAAAAAAATTATATACGCACCGAAAGGTACATCCAAACTATAATCCCATGAGGTGCTTTCGTAAAATGAATAAAAATCTTCAACCAAATTATCACCAGATGCCCATTTTGTATCGAATGTGCCATTTATAAATCTTGGTATTATGAATCCTTCCACTCCTTTTTTCATAAATAATCAGAATGAAATTGCCAAATCTAAATTTATTCCATTAAAAACTTGAGAGAAATTATAAAAGTGATAAATATTCACCATCATAAGTTACATTTGGATGCCAAAGATTTTCCCAACTAGTCGCTCGATTTTTATATTTTATATAATCATCGATTTTACCTAATCCTTTGAAATTAAAATAGATTAAAAATATAGAAATATTTTAAAATCAATATAGTCATCATTATGCATTAATAATAAATAAACTTAAGATACCTTTAGCAACAAGACTAATACTATAATCATTAGCACTATACTCTAAAGTTCTACTACATGGAGTGTTAATGTATCCGAGAATGCGATCATAAGGTGAAGGAATATATCCATATTTTTTATAATCGGTTAAGTGTAATCGACCTTGGAACAAACCTTCTTCCCATGGATCTACTTCTGCATCTTTAAGCAGGGCTTCGTATGCTATGTTCCAGTCTATTTTATCATTTACATCAATTTGTTTTAAGTATGTTTCGGCCTATTATTAACGAAAGTAGCGTGAATTGATTAAACAAATCTACTTAAATTAAATAAACTAAATGAGTTAAATGAATTGAATAAGATTATGTAATTACAATAACCATATCAGCATTAGATCCACCTTGTGTAATTCCATTTGATGAACCACTTCTTCCATCAGGCATATAACCTACATTCTCATAAATGTCAATTAATGATCTAGCAATATCTACAGCACGTTGTGATTGGAAAAGTGTAAATAGTGGGTTTGTTGTCCTATATATTAAATTATTAGTTTTATGCTTATTCTAGTTATTGCTCTATATAATAAGATAGTAATTTAAAATTACCTGAACGTATCCCACTATTGGTCATATTGAAAAATCAGCATTATTCTATTATTTTTTCTATGATTTTTAAAGCAGATAAGATCGAAAGCAAACATACCAAAGTATAAAAATCTTCATAATATGGTACAAGTTGACCATTCTTATCAAATGATTTCCACGCTGGATTTTCTCCGGTTCTACATATATAATAGATTATATTATAACTATTATTTAACAACATTCATGAATCATTAATAAATCATTCATGTTAATAATTAACAAACCTATCACTTGGAATTAACATAGTCCGATATAAACCACTATAAAAAATTTTTTTAAGATTTTCATCATTACTCTCAACCCTAATTTTACCCAATTCATTATCCCAAGCATCAGCAGCTTTTTGTTTTACAATATCAAAATCCCAATCAGGTACCTCACTTTCAGCATTATTACAAGCCTGGTCTGCAGAAATAAATGAAATTCCAACTCTTGAAATAATTACAGGATTTTTGATAGTATCAAAAGTTAGAATTGCACCAATTTTATCACCAGAAGTTCCAACACAAGATGTCGTATTTATATCTATTCTGTTGTTCCACCAAGTTGCTTGCTCGGTAGCATTGACATTAAATTGAGAACAGAAGTAAACTTTATAAGGACCATTACTATTCCAACCACCTCTGTATCGACCTACTCCTTTTATTTGATTGAGGGAGAGAGATGTTATCGCACCGTCATCAAAACTGGAACTAATATCATCAAAAGGTTAATAAATATTATAAATAAAACATGAAATCAATAAGGTCAAATAAATTAATAGCTACACGTATCCCCAACCGAAAGAAAGAATATGAGACAAATCAAGAATAACTTTTGCATTATTTTCAGATGGTGGGAAAGTATAACGATGAAGACCAACTCTACGACTTGCGGTTAATTCAACCATGATATTATAACGTTTTAATCCAAATTTTGAGTAACCAACTTCGAAATGTTCAAATGATCTTGTTGAGGAGTAGTCATATATTCTAATTTTTTTATCTGGCTGATCCACCACCGGAAATTGACTTATCACACCATATTTTGGTTCACCTGATTATTTGAATAATGATGGTCAATAGGGTTCACGTAGTCTTTAATATGTGATTAGAATACTATTAAATCATTACCTCCCGTTCCACTAACATGTAGATCTGTATTAACAAAAATTTTCGATGTATAATATAAGTATTAGCCAAACATGCCAAGTAATTTATTTATCAAATACTCACGAGATATTCCGGTAATACGTCCGTTAACTGTGTACCTACAAATTGTGTTTACGATTCATGATTCATAATTCAGTAAGTAATTTTATTTTCATAAAAAGATAAATATGGATAGAAAGTTTATCTGATTTGCTATTCAATTTATTTAAAAATAATATGATAAAGAAAACATGTAAAAGTTTTATTAGAGTTATAAGTAGGAATGTTAGTGAATTTAATTTCACCAATTTCATCAATTTAACATCAATTCTATCAATTCCACCAGTAGTGATGAAATTATTTCACAACTCCAGTTTTATTTTGCTAGTATCTTTAATTGTAATACTTCACTGCTAAAAAAGATCTTTCCCCCTTTTACTTAAAATTTTAGTAGTAAATTGATGTCCAAACACCTAATTCTATAAAGGTATCAATATGTCAATCTTTTTTTAAAAAAAGTGGGTGAGATCTTTTTTTTCACAGTCAAAATCAAAAAATTCGACATGCTGAATGGCACCACTTGGTTGCCATTCGCATACCATTTAACCAACATTCAACAATATTCACCCAACAGTAAACATTTGACATGTATGATCGAATGCAACTAGATGGTTTCATTTGACATGTCGAATTTTTTGATTTTGACTAGTGGAATCCTATAGCTCCAATAAAACTTTCTATCAACTTTTATTTATCTCAATTTTTTATTCGACATGTAATTTTTGTTATGTAAATAACGTTGGCCAGAACTTTTAGAGCTGGCGCACAAAGTCTATTAATGCTG